TACTATTTTAAGAGAAGAATTTTAACTATTTCCAAATGACATTGTCCTTCCCGAGGTAATAACCTTTAAGCACTGTTGCGGAAACGAAACATTTGTTTATGGCATCAGTATTGACATATGACATACTAAATGTTCTGAACTAGAGATCTTGGCAACTGCACTGTTTAAACTTGTAGAGAAACAAAGCATTAATTTACAATTTAAGTTTATATTTTTGGAATTTTAACGGACTGTATGTGGGGAAAAGACAGTAGAAGTATTTTTGTAAACGCTGTTACAAATAATAAATCGAAGTGTGAAATATATGTTCTTTTCAGTTTATGATAAGCGTGTATTTGTGAAATTCTGTATAGTTTCCACTTTATTTACATTTAGGTTAAACAAGTTTGTTGTTAATCTGGACCCCCCACAAGCCTCCTTCCCAAGTACACAACCATGACATTTATTACACATTCATGAAGGTTGCTTGTACGGCATTTTTGTGTCATGCAGCATATAACTACAAAAACATGACTGATGTGTTGCTGTCAGGCAGACGTATTTTAAGACGTTTCGTGTATTGTAATCTGCATTAAATGCAGTCATATGATCTTGCATCTATCCAACCTAACCCAAAGAATTGTTATAATTAAGCTGCATGCATTCTCTGCTTTATAGTCAGATATAAAATGTCTTACTGACATATTGAAGCTTTATGTATTTATTTCTGAGCTGGAGGTCAGTTAAAATTTATATGTCATTCAAGGGAACCTTCGAAGTTTTACCTTACATACAATTGTGCATAAAACTAATAAAACACAAGTTTAATTCATCCTCACAAAATATAAACTTTAAGGCTTCTGTCTTGGATGCTGCAGTTCTATGTATCTTCATCATATGAATATTTATAAGTCGTAAAGATCAGTATGTAATCATCATTTTCACATGTTAACAGTACAAGGCGTTTCGGCAAGCGTTTGACATTATCAGACATTCCAGAAGCATAACTCAGCGTCGTCTTGTTTCGTTCTTCCTCTTAATTCGAAATATTATCTCAACACGCTGCTCTCAAACACTATCAGTCCTTGTGAGATTTCAGGTTCTCACGGCGATGAGTACGAAGATGACTGTCTTCAGGGTTGTTGCGATGCGTAGTCTGATAGTTTACCGACGTTTCAGAGATGCTTGCTGTCTCCATATTCAGAGTGATTGATGATGGACGCATTAATCACTTCTGAAACGGTCGTAAAATGCCATACTACACGGCGCAACATCCCGGATGACAGCCATTTCCAAAATCCATGTACTGAAGAAGACACGTTCACACGCATATAAATTGGTACAAGTCTATATTTTAAGTATTGTAGGTATTTAATATGCACGCTAACGCAAATTATGAACAAGTTGAGTAGCGAACGATTTATAATTTATTCTGGACCCTTTATTCAGATATAAACATTCAAAATTAAGTAATTGTTAATCAGTAGGCTTTAAGGTTCTCACGGCGGTGTTAAATAATCCGATAATCTATTCATGGAGCCTGGGAAAATTAGGCCAAAAGCAAATTTTGTCAACTGAAATCCCACACGACGAGCTGGAGTTGAAACTCGTTGGGCCTGTGAGTTTAGCCATACCGAACTGTAACATGCCAGACCGCTTGTATTTGGCCTGGGAAAGACTGTTTCTGAATTTTTCTTCAGCGTCTCGAGAAAAATACTGAGACGGTGTAGCTTATAATAGGCCACGACCGTCCCCTTCAATTTTCACATGTAGCATTCGACATCAATTTGCCCATGTTGTGTAGATAACCTCGATAATCCTACGATCATTGTAAAGGGATTGATGTCGAACTGAAGATTTA